GCGCCGCTCATGGACCATGGGCACAGGTGGGGACAGGAAACGTCCCGAATGTAAACGGCTGCGGACGGAAAAGGGAAGAGGAGCAAACATGGCCAACCGAGGATCGCAGGGTCGGACGGTTTTCCGACGTCAGGGCGGTATGGAGTGAATCAAGTGAAGGGCTGAAAACGTATGCGACGAACTGGTAGGGCAGCTCGTAGGATGGAAATGGTCGTTTCCACGCCTTCCTCGTCATCAAAGTAGAAAAGTTTGCACGGAGCGCCCTGCCGTAGAGCAGCTTGCGGGATGCGGGCGAGGTGCAGCTGCAAATGTTCAGTGGCATCGAGACGATCACGCAGAACGCAGCACCATTCCGAACAAACAGCTGCCGTTGTCTGACAAATGAATAAACTCACATGTTGCAGGGAGACGCGAAAGACTGCTTCATGGTATCCATGTCGGATCAATCGCGGTGTGCAGCATTGAAGCCGGGCCCTTCGCATGGAGCTGGTAATCAGATCGCAAGACCTGGTCACCCACAAAGGCAAGTTGTCATGTGATTCTGGGGAATCTTCAGCATCGTCGTGTAACTCCAAGATCACATCGATGTACTGTAAGTACGAGGTGATGTGCGCGAGCGAGGCAATGGGGAAGGGGACACTCATGATGATGATCGAAAACGGCTGCGGCATGTATCCATGAAAGAACGAGGAACACGGCACAAAGGACGGCAGCAATCTGTTTTGCCGTCAACGTCCCCAAGTCGGTGTGGCACCTTGAGGTAGTTCAATAGCCGGTTGCCAGGTCGTCCGGCGGGCCTCAAGTAGACTGCCACAGGCGGGTGCTTCTCGGAGGATTTCAGCGTCCTTGACGGTGGCAATCGCAGTGGTACTTCTCATGTAGGAGAGGTGTCGGTCGCCCTGGAGCAACTGAAAGTGAGATGGGTGCAGATAACGACCATGGCGTTGATGAAGGAGTTGCGAGAGTCGTTGTTTCACATGGTCAATGAGCATGTCGCTCCACACATGAAAATCAAACCACTCCGCATGTCCACCGCCATCGGGTAGGTCACAGCAAAGGAACCATGCCGGAATCAGAACGCGAAGACGTATAAGATTAGGTGGAATGGGTAGCCCGGCGACGGCGGCTGATCGTTTCATAGAGCTCGGCGTGAAGAAGGGCGCGGCCGTGTTGTAAACAATGGGAGAAACGGCTGCGGGATCCATAAATCAGAACAAGGGGTGCAACACGAATACAATAGGGCATCGGGCATGTGATCTTTTCCGTACGGGCAGTCAAGAAGAGTGTATGAAGGCCAGAATGCGGAACACGACGTCATGGATCCATATCATTGGCGGAAGCTGTGGTGAAGAACACGCGGCGGTGGTAATGAAGGCATTGTCCCAACAACAGATAGGAGCGGGCGCGTAGACACCGTAGCTGGGTTTGCAACAGCTCCATGGCCTCCCAAGTGTGAATTTCATGAGGGATCATCAACGTCAGAACCGCATCTGAAAACCGGACCACGTCAGCGTAGGTGGTGCCGATGGGTAGGATGCGTGGAGGCAGAAAGGGTCCTCGCATACGGGGAGTGGGTTCACCTGGTAGTAGTTGAGCGGGTCGAGGTTGATGAACGTCCCGAGTGATGAAGTGTGTGATGTTGCGCCCGTGCAAGAAATGAATGACTTCGTAGTTCATGATGCGGTTGACCCGGAGGAGCTGCGTGGTGAGATACAAGTCGAGTACAATCTCGAACAACCCATGGTAAGAATTATCCGCGATCTGGACAACCTCATAATACATGTTACAGGCCTCCGTCATCACCTCGTGCATAATCTGGTGGATGTGCGGTCGCGGTGAGGTCGAGGAGAACGGAACCAACCAGCCTCGCATCAAGATGAAGGGGGAAAGCCAAAAATTGACCGGGACGTCGGTGAAGGTGGAAATCGTACGGTTGTCTCCAGAGGATAGGGAGACATAGGTGGTCGAGGGGGTCGGTGTAGTGCGATCCCTGCGAGATTCTCTAGCCGCTGCCACCCATTCGCGGTATTCAGAGGTAGTAGGAAGGTCCACCAGCGTCTCCGGTGCCAAGTTCGCCATGGTGTGACGAGCAAGTGGATGAAGGGTAAACAAAGTAGCTGAAACGGCTGCGGGTAGAGGACATCGGGTAACAACTCAAATTGTGTGAGGTCAGTGATGAAAAGGAAGAGCAAGTAAGGACTCTTTGTGTCACACGATCATCCGCTCCAGGAGGTATCCTGCAGGTGTCTGCTCTGCAGGGCGGTGCCAAAGGCATGGAGTCGTAATCGGAATAGACGACTGCGGGGGACCTCCGTGCAATCGAACTCAGTCAAATAGGAGGGAATACCCAAGCGGTACGTCAATGAGGAGAACCGCACAATGCTGGAGAACTCCGAGCCAAGTGGAAGACGCCGACGAAGAAGATCAGGAGGTTCAGAACGATCCGCGGGTAGAAGGGCAACTGTGGTCATGGAGCGAGCGAGGAGGTAGATGGCGAGTGCATCATTGAGATGGCGGTTGGTGGCCGAAATTGCCGAGATGACGCCGATGTCGAAGGTGAGAACAAATAGGCCATGATAATAGTTGTCTCCAGCGCGAAAGAACCCGTAGAAGAGGTTAGTGTGACGGTCAATGAGCTCGGCCAGGCGATCACGGATCATGACGTCATCGGGATGTCGTGTAGTCTGCCGAATAGAATTTCCTGGACTGCCATCAATAGGGGGGTGAGTCGCGGCCACGGCGTACGCGAACAAGTTCTGGTGGTAGTCCAAGAGCTGGTGCACAAATCCGCAAGGAAGTACGGAGAGCTGGAGCGGCATGGTATTAATGTCAAAAACCTTAAGGAAACGGCTTCGGAAGGCGCGAACATGTGAATCAACGTCCAGGCAGGCATTGCAACGCTGCAAACTATTTCCGTTCGAATGCAGCCACCCCCGCGATGGCAACAGTTGGTACCATGTGCCAGCTGAAATATAGTGAGGACGAACACGCTCATGTGCTGGGAGCAGTGGCAGGAACAACTGCTGGCTGGAAGGCGGAGAGGACCGCAGTCATCGCCAATAGCTTTTGCTGGTTGACCTCCGACAACTTGGAAGCCAAAGTGACGGACAATCCCCAATCCACAAGGGTTTTGTCGAGGGGCGGCAGGACACCCGAAGCGGCCTCTTTCAAGATGCCCTGTACCTCGGTGAGCTTCGGTGTGTAGGATTCGCGATGGAGCTTGATGAGACCGTCGAGCCATTTCTTCACATCGGTGGTAGAGGCGGATTTGGGGGAGTTGGATTCGAGGACAGCGCGGCGATCAAGTCGTTCGAACTTGGAGAAGGAGTCCCGGAGTCTGGTGGCAGCGTCTGGTGGAGGGTTCGGTTCTGCAAGTGGAGGAGGTAAGGTCTCGGCGCCCGTGCCAGCGGCAAGCAACCTTAGCTGGTCGTTCTCCTGCTGCAATCGTTGAATTTGTTCAAGAAGTCCAGGTCGTCCTCCGGCTGCAACTTCACCGTGGGGTAGTAGATCATTAATAGTCGCAGCAACCTTGTCCGCCACGTGTTGCAAGAGCTGAGCGCGATACGCCCATATGGTAAGGTCGCGTGGGCCTTCGGTAGCAACGGTGTGGTTGTCGTGTAATTGTTTAAGGACATCAGAGATGTCGTATTGGTCCGAGGACTTGCGGAGCGTCCGAATAATGAATGAAGCCAAAAGCGCTTCCTGTCGCGTCCTGAAAATTTCGATCACAAGAGGGCGGCCAGCAGCCAGCAGGCGGACGATCCATGCTTGCCCCGCATTCGGGGTGAGCGACACAACAGGTACGAGATGAATAGGCATTTCGGCGATGCCGAGACGCCTGGTAAAGGCAGTGTCTACGACATTGCGCGGTAAAGGGAAACCGCGGTCTGGGTTCGCGTCAAGGAAGAGGTCGGTGGTTTCCCAGTTGGCGCCGAGCGGATGGATGTCTTCGTAGCGTTCCTGGAGTAGGCGGTGATCTCGAGCGGAAGGATGGTCTCGGCGATCACGGCGAGGTTCACGTCGAGCAGGAGGTGCACCGGAGGAAGAATAGTGGGATGGATCATCATGAGGTGGAGGAGTGGAGTGCACCCGGCTGTCAGAGTGTGGTACCCGTCGGTCAGAGTCGGAAGGAGGAGGATGTCGTCGAGACGATGGCCGTGGCGAGGAATAGTGTAGGCGACGTCGTGGGGGAGAATCAGCATCAGGATCTCGATGTCGATGTTGCCTGATCGAAGTGTCACGGCGGTGGTGGCGGTGATGTTCCGGCGTGTTGGACACCGGGGTTCGGCTTCGATGTCGTCGGGACCGAGGAGGAGACATACGGCTGTGTGCTCGATTGTCCCGAAAGGACCCCGACCTGGGAGGTTGCGTCGTCATGTTCCGCTGGGACGAATAAGGATCGTTTCGAGAAGGTTCATCACGTCCAGGTAGACGATGTCGTCGGGAAGGTGGAGTGCGAGAGCGGTGTGGGGGCATAAGGAGGAGGAAGAAGGGGAGGAGGCGTGAGGAAGCAGGCGAAAGGAGCCAAAGTATAAAACGGCTGCGGGAAGTGAGCTCGCTTAAGAACTGCTGCAGCAGCAAATAGTCCCTTTGTCCAGGTCCTGAGCGCGCATCATGAGAAACGTCCGAGCCGGATCAGAGGCAACTCCTGGTAGCTGGAGGGAATGAAGACCCAATGCTGAATTCCACGGTGTAACGCCATGCCGCGGACTTGTTGTGGACAAAACGGATGGAAGATGGAGAGGCACGGTCGAGAAGAATGTGACCGTGGAAGATCGGGTGTGCGTTCCACGTAGAAGGCATATTGAAGTCCACGATCACGAAGAAGGGCTCGTACGGCGTAATATGTTCGCGAGCATGTCATCATCAAAGAAGCAACGACACCGGGATGGAATGTGATCTCGGCGAGGGCATAGTGAAGGTGATAGTCGCGTTCCGTCCGGAACGCCAGAGCCTGGCCATGTAGTTCAGCAATGGGAAAGAGGCACCGTAAAGTGGAGTCCGGGGCGGGTGCACGGGCAGAAGCAGTGTCCATCATCGAGTCCGGAGGGACGAGAGCAGTGCGTAGACGAAGTTCCAAGAGTGGTAAGAACACCCGGAAGAGAATGAAAGGATCAGTCAATACGTCCAAGTATTCCAAGACAGTTGCCGAAGTGGATGACGACAAGGTCGAGCAGGAAGAGGAGGCAGAGGACGAAAGAGGAGCAGAGCGTCGGAGAGGCATGTATGGTACCAGGGAAGGGCAGGACTGTGGAGTGATGTAGAAAATGGCTGCGGAACATCCAACAAAGGAGGAGCAGAGTCGGCGATGGCACATGTTTTGCTCAGGTCCGAGCGACTGAGTATAGGGTCAGGGGTGGGCGCTGCTGGTCTCCGCTCAGATCCCGCCGATGTCGATCACGGTCTCGATCGCGATGGGGAACATCACGCGCACCTCGAGAGCGGTCAGGATCATCACGATCATCACGGTCTCGGTCAGCACGGTCGCGGCGGCGACGCCGACTACGGGATCGGCCGGTTGTCGCCGTTGTGGTGCGTGGAGGAGGAAGTTGCGGTCGCGCTTTGACCTGTACGTAAGTCAAAGTGCCATCAGCATCGACCTTCGGTGCAAGAGGTCGTCCAGTGTGCTTGGAGACAGCCGGAGGTGGAACTGTGTGGCCGATCGGGATGGCATCAGAATGTCCCGGGGTTGATGGAATCGGAGGAGAAGGTCCAGCAGGTAGAGGGTCAGGAGGAAGTGGGGATACCGAACGACGTCGACGGCGATGACGATCACGATCCCGGTCTTCAGCGCGAGAACGTTCTTCATCTCGAGGGCGGCCGCGATCTCGTCTCCGAAGTCGTGGTAGGGTCTGGCGCTGGGAGGGATCCACATAAGGAGGAACCGGTGGTGGTCCCATAGGGGCCGGAGGGGCCACACTGCCGCCAGGAAGTACCTGAGGTCCAGGAGAGTCATAGGCGGCTTGACCAGAATAAGGGCCTGGGTCACTGGAGGTGATCGGTACTGTGGCAGGTGGAGGACCATCCGGAGGCGGTGGAGTAGATGTCGTAGTCACCGGAGTCACAGGAGTCAAAGTCGGTCGATTCTGATGGGCTCGTAGCAATACGTCACGTACCTGGAGCAGTTGGTGGTCAGACAGCGACTCGAAAAACACCAAGAACAGCTGCAAATATTCGGAAGTGAAGGCGGAGGAGGCCATGATGTGCTGTGAAGGTTTCAGCAAAACGGCTGCGGGATGAAGAGGAATAAAGCTGCAACAACAAAGAGACCAGCAATACCACACCTCAAGTCACGCGCACATTTTGTGGGTCCTCTCACATGAACATGGCGATGCCTTCTGGTTGTGCAAGCGTGGAGTGCACGCCCCAACGGTTGTCGTTGCCGTGTAGGATGGAGACGAAGTAGTTCGCCGCGTTTTCGGGGACGGTGCCCCCACTGTCGCTCTTCAGGTGATAGGCCGCGGGAGTGTTGGGGAGCACTGAAGACGGTGTGTCGGTAGGCGCGGCATTGGCTATGTCGAGATAGCAAATGGGGATTCGGCCATATACACAAATCGGACGGGGAGAACCCCATCCTCCGAACTTGGCTGCAGCCCGTAAGGCTCCGCCGAGACTGTGGACAGAAGCGCGAGAGTAAAAGGCAGGACTCGGCAGCCAAGAGGCGTCAAGGGGGTCGAAATTGCTGGGGCGGATGCAGCCTTCTTTAAGGATGCCAAAAGCCGCCTGAAGGTCCGTGTTGTGACCGAAATACGCGACGGCAGGTGCCCCGCTAATACGCTGTGCCGCTGCCGGGAAGGGAAGCGAAACCATCAGCATCGGTCTGCCTGCTTGGTCTGGTTGATGTTGGGGGGCCTCGACGTGTGTAAACTTGAACTGAACACTGTGAGGATGGTATCCGGCATGTACCAACAGATGCATCACTGTGAGTATCGGATCGGCTAGGGTGAAAGGCACTTCAAAATGGCGTCCCTCCAAAAGTAACTCCCGTTGACATTGTCGACGATGAGGGAGCGCTTTGAAGTAGGGCCTGTGTTGCAGCAATGCAGTATACACTCGATCCCAGTGCACCGCCTTGAGGGAGCCCAGCCGTGTAGAGTAACCGGATTGCAGATAGGTGTCAAGTTGGCCTGCCGTGGCCAAACACTGGCGTAAGGTTGCCAACGTGCAAGCGGAGCTGAAGGGAGCTGCTGAGGTCGAAGATGCTGTAGGTGGCGACGTCAAGGATGCCGTAGGGGTGGTAGACGGATCCGGAAGCGAGGTAGGAACAGAGGCATCGGCAGGCACCGACTGGTCGTTGCTGGAGGAAGACGGGGCTGAGCCAGTAGGAAGTAGACCAGGCCAAAACGGGCTCGCAGGGAGAGGAGAAAGATCAGGAAGAGTGCTTGGAGCTGCCATATCGATAGGTCGTGGAGGCTGCAAGGGGTCAGCGATTCGGCCAGTCAAAGTAGAACGTTGAGGTGCCGCAGTCCGGGTCGTAGGTGCCGCCGGCGTTGACGACGAAGAGGAAGAGGAAGACGATGAGGACGCAGACCTCGGGCGTGGCCGAGATCGTGAGCGAGAGGGTGCAGTCGTCCGGAGTCCAGGTGCACAGGATGGACGGGGACGAGGAAGCATGGCGAATGCAGAAAAGCAATGCACAGCCTACAACAACAACTACTACAGGGAAAAAACCACTAGAACGTTACGGTCAAAACTCTTCCTGCCTGAGTCCTTGGGTGTGAGTGCTTGAAGCTGCTTTGGCTGCAATCGCGTTTCGGTAGGCATGGAGCCGAATTTGTGGGTGCCATGAGAGGCGGTTAGGCCGTGTGGCTTCACTGCTCTCCTCATTGAACTGATCTAAGCGCTGACACTGAATTTGGCGCCTCCGAACTTGGAGGATCTGAGTGCAGCACCGAGGCATACACCACCGTCCCGGAGGACTACACACTGAATGCTAAGGAAGGTTTCGGTATGCGACGGACCACCTGATGTCCAGGTCTCAAGCGACCACACATCAGAGACTTCGGACAGGTAGCTTCATGGACAGCAACTGCAAAGAGGAAGTGCGGAAAGTCTGTGGCTGACACCTCAACCTGCCTAACTAAACCGCAACGCCAGCCTGAACCCCCAACGCACCGAAGGACACGGCAAGGACAGAAGAGGTGGACACTGGCACTGAGCAATGCATGCATGTGTACGCGCTAGACGGGGTTCTCGGCTTAGCCCCAGGCCATCCAGAAACCAGTGCATACCAGACGACATGAACTCAAGCACTGACTGTTTCTGAAGTGATATCATAGCTGCAGGAGAACGACTGGTTGGGGTTCTCGGCTTAGCCCCGGGCCATACCCGTTAACAGCAGCAATACGCAATACGAAGAATAACCAATACACAGCGTACGTCCATGTACTGCGTCACAAGCAAAGTGCAGGTACGTGGTCAAGGCGTCCCCCGACCATATCCTGGTGTGTGACTGGAGCTTCGTTGCACCAGGCCAAGCCACACACCCCTGGTGCCCCTGCTGTGTACTCTGTACTCAAGTTCGGTTATATGTAAAGCGTAGGTAGGAAACGGCTGCAGAGCGCGAGGAGAAGGCCCTTGGATACAGGGTTGTCACACACACACACACGTAACTTTCCCGCAACTGAGTTAATCCGACCCTCAACAGCAGCACAACGATATTGGGGTAGGATCGCCGGGCAAGGCAAGGAAACTCAAAAGGGAAGCCCAGCCCAAAGAGGAACACAAGCTGCAAGCGTACCTCTTTTCTCATTAGTTGAGCCAAAGATCATGTCATTGGCACATTAAGCTACACAGTCAGACATGTTACCTATACAAGGACAGGGAACGTCGTATTCTATCAACTAACTGTTACAACATTGCTGCTTTGCAAAACAGGATACCTGACTTTTGCTGTAGATGATTGCGGAAGAAGCACGAAGCAGATTGGTATCCGGATCGGCCGCCTGTCGGACGGAGCAAATTGGGAACTTTGCAGTGCAAACTTGGCAAAAGACGTGCGAAGAGGTTTGTCGGCTTCTTAGGCGAACGAAAATCTTCTTTTGCACGGAACCATTGACGATTTTTCCGCAGACCGAACGAAGAGCGTCGTCCACAGGATCTTGCGGCAAGTTTCCCGCAAGTGTCATAACCTTGCCGTTTTGCAGGACAGGATACCTGACTTTTGCTGTAGACGTTCGTGGAAGAAGCACAAAAAGAGATTAGTATACGGATCGGTCGGCTGTCGCACGGGAAAGACGGGCAACTTTGCCGCACAAACAGGGCAAAAAGAAAAGCGAAGGAGTCGGTTTACATCGCAAACAAATATTTTCCTTACACGGAACCATTGACAACTATTCCGCAAACCGAACGAAGAACGTCGTCCGCAGGATCTTGCTGCAGCAGAAACCACGCACGGAAAAGCACACAACTGTTACAGCATTGTCGCCTTGCAAGACAGGATACCGGATACCTGGCGATACCTGGCCTTTGCTGTAGACGTTTGTGGCAGACCAGGCGCCCAGAAAGGAAACATTAAGGGAACCCAGCGGGAGCTCAGGCCCTCTGCTGCGGCCCGCCCGTCCACCCAGGAGCCCAGAAAGGAAGCAGGAAAGAAGCCCAATTGGCAGCCCAATCCCTTTGCCGCGGCCCACCCATCCAATCCAGGAGCCCAGAACGGAAACATGAAGGGAGGTAAACGGGATTGCCGCGGCCCAAGGAAACATGAAAGGAGCCCAGCGGCAGTCCAGGTCCAACCCAGCAGCCCAGAAAGGAAACATGAAGGGAGCTCAATGGGAGCCCAGGTCCTTTGCCGCAGCCCACCCACCCGTCCAAACCAGGAGCCCAGGAAGGAAACATGAACGGAACCCAATGATCCAATGATAGCCCAGGTTCTTTGCCGCGGCCCAACCGTCCAACCCAGCCCAAAAAAGAATTGAAGGGAACTGAATGGGAGCCCAGGTCCTTCGCCGCGGCACACCCATCCAACCCAGGAGCCCGGGAAGGAAACATGAAGGGGACCCAATGATAGCCCAGGTTCTTTGCCGCGGCCCAAAGGAAACATGAAGGGAACTGAATGGGAGCCCAGAAAGGAAACATGAATGGAGCCCAATGGGAGCCCACGTCCTTTGCCGCGGCCCAACCGTCCAACCCAGGAGCCCAGAAAGGAAACATGAAGGGAAGTGAATGGGAGCCCAGGTCCTTCGCCGCGGCCCACCCGTCCAACCCAGGAGCCCAGAAAGGAAACATGAAGGGAGCCCAATGGGAGCCCAGCCAGTTTGCCGCGGCCCAGCCATCCAACCCACCGCGGCCCACTTTTATTCTGAGGAGAGAACCCCAAAACGTACCTGTTTGGGGAATCAAGGCAGTCATGGTGGAAAACTGTCCCCTCTCAGGAATTGCTTCAGAAATCTGCCCTGCCGCGGGCAACAAGGACGACATAAGGAGGGCCGCTTTGCCAATCTTCCCGGCCCTTTGGAGCAGAGGGAGCTGGCGTCGCAGTCGAGGGAGGTGCAGGAGGGGCCACCTTGGGAGCGGCACTCTCTGTTGCCGCCGCTGCGGTCGCAGCAGCCTTCTCATCGGCAATCCTCTTCCTGCACTCATTGGCCCAATGGCCCGGCTTGTGGCAGTAGTTGCAGGTGCCCGGCTTCTTCTTAGGAGCCGGTGTCGCAGATCGGGGCCTTCCATTGCCCTTCTTGCCACCTTTTGCCTTTGTCCTTTCCTTTTCCTCCTTTGTCTTTGCCTTTGTCTTTTCCACTCGGCTTGCCTTGGTCCTTCCCGTAACCTTTTCCTTTGGGCTCGCCACCCTTGGGCTCACCCTTCTCAGACCGATCACCACCAAAAGCTGCAAAGCCCTTGGCGTTCGAGGCCTCCTTGTGAAAGTTCAAAACGCGAAGCTGCTCATCATAGAAAACCAAACCGCGCTCAAGCTGCTCCAAAGTTGTCAAAGACCCATGCAACAAAAGGTACTTCTTGCAATCATCATGAAGGTGCTTCAAGATGCAACTGATAACATCAGCCTGCTGCAGTTCAAGGTCTGGGTACTTG